CTGCCCTCTCCTCCTGCGTCCTCTCTTCCTGACGGTCCAGACCCGGAGTCTGACTCCCTTCGTGCTGCTAGTCCTACTGTCACGCGCTTTCTGGCCACTTCTGTCACTGACCCTCTGTTTGAGTCCTCTGCTGCGTCTGCTCTTGTTGCTGAGCTTGTTGACTTTGCTGCAGCCTGTCTCCTAGATTACGCCACTAGTCTTGTTGCTGCGTCTGCGTCTGTCTGTCCTCCGTCCGTCGGGGGTGAGTGTGCTCTTGGCACAGACGTCCTTGAGGACAGGCAGGAGGACCTTGAGTGCTTTGCCGCTGCTTCACCTCATCTCGTGTCCATGCTGCTTGCCCCTGAGGGAGACCCGGATGCACTAGACATCCCGACCCCGCGCTCTTACGCAGAGGCGATAGAGGGTCCCTACTCCTCTCAGTGGCAGGCAGCCATGGACGCAGAGATGGCTTCCTGGAAGTCCACAGGCACCTACGTAGACGAGGTTCCCCCACCTGGGGCAAACATCGTCAGTGGCATGTGGATCTTCAGGGTGAAGCGGCCGCCGGGTTCTCCGCCTGCCTTCAAGGCGCGTTACGTTGCACGTGGCTTCAGTCAGCGACAGGGAGTTGACTTCTTTCAGACCTTCTCCCCTACCCCGAAGATGACCACTCTTCGGGTACTGCTGCACGTTGCTGCTCAGCGTGACTACGAGCTCCACTCGCTTGACTTCAGCACAGCCTTCCTACAGGGCAGCCTGCACGAGGAGATCTGGCTGCGCCGCCCACCTGGCTTCACTGGGTCGTTTCCTGCTGGTACCCAGTGGAGCCTCCGCCGGCCGGTCTACGGTCTCCGCCAGGCGCCCCGTGAGTAGCACGACACGCTTAGGACAACTCTTGCTGCTCTTGGTTTTGCTCCTTCCACTACTGACCCTTCTCTGTTTCTACGCACTGACGGTACTCTGCCGCCGTTCTACGTTCTTGTGTACGTAGACGACCTTGTCTTTGCTACTGCTGACACGGAGGCACTCGCCCACGTGAAGTCCGAGCTGCAGAAGAGACACACGTGCACAGACCTGGGTGAGCTCACAAGCTATCTTGGCTTGCGGATCACCCGGGACAAAGCACAGCGCACCATTACCTTGACTCAGTCACACATGGTGCAGCAGGTCCTTCAGCGCTTCGGCTTCACCTACTCCTCGCCACAGTCCACTCCTCTGCCTACCGGTCACTCGCTCTCAGCTCCACCTTCGGACGAGTCCGTAGAGCCGAGTGGCCCGTATCCAGAGCTTGTGGGCTGCCTCATGTACCTGATGACTTGCAAACAGTACAGTGAACACAACCTAGCAAGTGTAAGCATGCAGGTATAAGTATATAGAGTACAGTACAAGCAGAGTCAAGAATTCAACAAGTGAGGCACAGTAGGTACAAGGCCTAACACAGTACAGAAACGCTGATGATCACAAGGCTGAAGTGCCTTGGTGAAAACATCAGCAGTGTTGGCCTGAGAGGCCACGTAAGCAAGACGAAGCTGGCCACGCTGCTGCAACTCTCGAGCAAGGAAGTAGCGCAGAGCAATGTGCTTCGTTCTGTGCTCCAGTCTGTGCTCCTGACACAAGGCCAGCATGGCCTTGTTGTCGACGTACAGAACTGGAGGAGAACGAGGCGCCTCTCGCAAGTCGGTCAGCAGGTAGGTGAGCCAGCGAAGCTCCTGTGCAGCCATGGCCCCAGCGTAGATCTCAGCCTCACAACTGGAGCTGAGAACAGAAGAAGAGCGGGTAGACCGCCAGGAGACTGAACCGGAGCCAAGGCTGAAGGTGTAACCCTGTGACGACCGCTGCGTAGCCAAGTCGTCAACCCAGGAGGCGTCAGCGTGACCAGTGAGGACAAGCCACGCGAGTCCCTTGTGAAAGTAACGAACGAGAATGAATGAACTAGCAAGCAGTTGGGAACAAGTACTAAGCCTAATTGGGTTGTACCCCTTATGGGCTACCCCACTACAGCCTACACAAATGTATAAGCAATAAATGTTCTGACACACCCCCATAGGCAAAGTGGGGGAGAACAAGTGGTCACAAGACCAGTCAAGCAAAGCACAGCATGAGAGAATAATTGACGAAAGAATGAATGAACTAGGAATGAGATGGGTACAAGTAGGAAACACATAAGTGTTGTACCCTCTAAGAATTACCCCACTACAGCCTAAATAGACTTTAGCAGATATAAGTTTGACACACCCCCATAGGCAAAGTGGGGGAGAACAAGAGGTCACAAGACCAGTCAAGAAAAGCAAAGCAAGCTCAGGGTGGATCACAAAGTCACCACACAGTCTGAGCACAAGCAAAGGGCCATAAGGCCAGTTCACATGCAGAGTTATATAAAGGAAAGCCCGTACCTGCTCTGGTTAGCTGTTCTTGGCCTTCTTCCTGAAACCACTTCTGATGTTGCTGGCGGACACTCGCCTTAAAGCTCTTGTTGATGGAGACATCGAGGGGCTGTACCTCCGCCGTGCAGCCAGACGGGATGATCGCCGACACGCAGTTGAGCTTGCGAAACTTCTCCTTCACCCCCTCAGTGAGGTGACCGCGGTACGAGTCCAGTACGACCATCGAGCTCCGCGCATGCCTCCCGAACCCAGGCTTTAAAAAGGGCTTGATGCACTCCTCAAGCCATCGTATGATGCCTTCCGCGTCCATCCAGCCGTTCTCGTGACACGCCACGACCACATCTGCATAACAAACAAGCTTCTGTAAGTTTCTCTTAAAAAAGAGGACCAGTGAAAAGCATACAAACAAGAATCATGACTTACTCGGCGGGAACACCCCTTTCGGCACGGTCTTCCGCTTGAAAAAAACCCACGGCTTCAGCTTCATCCCGTCCGCCGTGCACGCCAACATCACGGTCACACGCTCCTTCTGGTACCCCGCGCTCCTGATGGGCACCGACCGAACACCGGTTTGATCGACGGTAGTGGTGGCGGGCATCTCCAGCCACAGTGGCATCTGGTTGGCGTTGATTATCCACGTCGTCTCGATGCTGCGCTCCCGACGTTTGTCATGGACGAATTGCCAGAACTTCTTGCATTGCTCCGCGACATCTGCGGTTGAGCACAGTTACAGTTAGTGACAGATACTCGTCGAACGCCGATGGGAGCAGGAGCGTGAGCACGGGGTGGTTGTCGGTGACGTGAGGGGCCACCGGACACGGAGGAGACGGAGGAATAGGAGGAGCATGGGGAGTCGGAGGCACTGGAGGAGCCGGAGGAGCAGGCGGCGTAGGAGGCGCAGGAGGCTGTGGTGGCTCTGGAGGGTCTGGTGGTATGTGGCTATACCACCCGTCAGCTGTAACACGGTATGCGGGCCTACTGGAAGGTTTTTTCTTGAAGAGAAATTGAGTGCCTGTGAATTCCGCCATGGCTTCCGCAGCCAGGCGGGCGAGAAAAAGAAGAATGAATGAAAAATTGCAAGAATGGGTGTTGAAATGAGAGATTGAAGGGGACCCTTCTGGTTTGCGGCTTGGGGTCCTCGTCGATGAGAGACGAGTACACCCCTGCCTCAACCCGCAGAGGGTTGGGGGCACCATCCATGCTACGCTGGCACATCAGATTCCATCACGTTCTGGATGGTTATGCCGAGATGCTCCTGCCTGGCAGCGCATGCCAACCTGATTGGCCCGCACGGCAGGTTTTGCATCAGTGCTGGCAGGTGCGTTGCACCGGGACGGATTTTGTGCAGCTAGTTTTGCCGTCATTCCATGCACGACCCCGCGCGCATGGTACAGTGTTGTATTCGCCTTATTGAGGAATTCAGAATGATATCCTTTACAGTGAAATTCAATTTTGCCTTTATAAAAGCGCCGGCGCTTATGGCCGTTACTCAATTGCAAGCGCCCCCCTAAAAAAATGAATTTATTATAAGCGCATATGCGCTACTATCCGGGGTATTACGGTCGTGATGCTTCTGCCTTTTGCAGTCACGGCCAGAGATTGGGGCATGTCATCGTAACTTTTGGTGGCAACCACCTCTGCATCCTCACTCGTAGACGTCCGTTGCACCTCCACAACACACGGGCTCGACCCGTCCATCAGCCCAAAAAACTCAAATTTAAATGTGATACTGTAGTCATCGCCATCCTGGTTCACTAAATAGATAGAGATGAAGTTCTTATCGGGGTTGAAGAACGACGCAACGCAGTGGTGACAGCCATTGGTCGTCTCGATTCTCAGCGGCATGCTCCCTCTTGCACGCCCGAGCCATCTGCTTCATCATGTGAAACTTTTTCGAGAACGTAATCTCCAGAGGCATGACTGTAGGGTCAGACACATTGTTGTGCGTCAAACAGCCCCCACTTGGCAGAGTTGGGGTTATTCGGGAGGTATGGGTTGATCGCCTGCCAGTAAATCTATGCTGAGGCTCCCATGATGTTGATCGCCTGAATCGCCGATCGCATCATGAACAACCCCACATCGGTGTCCTCCCCTCCCACCCACATCGGCCCAATCTCCGACACCCACACCTCCTTCCCCACACTGATCCCCATCCGTGCTAACCCCACATACAGCTTCTCTATAAACTCCCTGGTATCCGTGGTGGTGGGTGGTGGCGGGACATACCCATGCACCAAAATCCTCTTCAGACCGGATAGTAACTGCCCGGAAAATAGATTCGCGTTTCGCATCGTGAACGCGACGAAGCTGTCGAACCCCGCGACGCGCGTCGGAAGCTTCTTCCGCTGCAGCGCACCCGCCAAGGCTGTGCAAAGCCTATCTAGCTCAGCAGCAGTGTAACTGCACCCCTCGTGCCGCCCCCCCTGCGACCACCACCCCTCCAGCGGCTCATTCGCCGGATTCATCGTGCTGAACGTCACGTTCCACTTGTGGCAAAAATGGGCCACTAAAGTGGCTAGATACTCCGCAAACTCGCCGTACATATCCGGTCGGAGATTCGATTTGCCGCCCACATTCCCCGACGTATCCCCACTGATGGTCATCCACCACGGCGCTGAATAAGCGATTGCCTCCACCTCATCGCCAGTCTGCCGCCCAGTCGTATGGGGCGGCCTTGCTCGGCTTGTAGCCGGGGAGGTTCGTCTGGTGCATGGTGTCTTTGGTGAGCTGCGGGCTGTTGGTGGCGTTGAAGCTGGCGCCTAGGAGGTAGCGCGCAAGGTTGAACCCGATTCCCGTGGACGGTGAGAAGAGCAGGTCCAGCAGCGTGGTGAGCTGGTCGGCAGGCAGTTTGCCAATGTAGTTGGCGAACCTGGCATGAAGAGTGGGGGCAAGGTGAGGTTGGGAGGTGGGGAAGATAGAGGCCGGGGGAAGGTGGAAGGGGGAAGGGGTAAGGATGGGCGAGGAGAGGATAGTGTGGGTGGGAGAGGGTGCAGAGGGTGAGTGGGCAGGCACACAATCAGGCAACGCAAAGGGGCCTAATATGAGGCCCTGGGAGGGCGCAAAAGAGAAGGTCGAGGAGGGGGGAAGGGAGTGGGGAGGGGAAGCGGAAGAGGGGAAGGGGGTAGGAAGGGGGTACGGCCGCAAGAGCAAGGGGCGAGTTTGTGGACGGGAGGTAGCTGGCCTAGGTGATTGGTGAACGAGGGTTTAGGGTTGAAGGTACAAGGGAGAGGAAGATGGGAAGGGGGTGAAAACGAATAGCAGGAGAGGAGGGCAACGAAGAGGGTTGAAACCATCTCACGCACCTCTCAACAAAGAGGTGGGCCCGTTTTCTATCTCTGTCATGCACTTCCTTGCACTCTCAATCGCACACTGACTCTCCCATGCACTCAAATTCCCATGCACTAACAACCCCATGCCCTCACCATGCTATCATGCAGCCATCAGCAACACTCTCAGCCATAGCACCAATGTTCGTAATGACGTGCTCTCTCGCACTCGCCAAGCCAAAGATGCACCCTAGCATCAGGTCAGATGGCTTTTGAGAAATTTTAAGAACCAACATGGCACCATGGTAGTAAGGACGTGCTCTCTCGCACTCACCACTCTCTCTGCCACTCACCACGCCAAAGACGTGCCCCAGCCTCTCCAGGTCTGTCCACTGAGATCCGGACTGATGGTGATGCTGGCTGGGCCTGGCAGACAGAGAGGGGGTGGAGAGGGGAAGGGGAGGGGGGTGAGAGAGGAGGGGAAGTCTATTGCAGTGATTTCAGGGATGATAATGTTGCTGCTGGGCACGTACGGGCACGGAAGCAAGGGGAGGGGGAAGGGAGGGGAAGCGGCGGAGGAGAGGGGGGAGGTAAGGGCAGAGGTGTGTGCGAAACGGATTGCTGATCATTCTAGCCGGGAGAGGAAAGGAAGAGGGGAAATTGGAAGTGACAGAAGAGGGCAGCTGAGGTGGATTGGTGGGCATTCCACATGCCATTGTACATTGTCTCGTGCCACACCTGCTGTCACCACACCTGCTGTCACCATACCTGCTGTCACCACACCTGCTATCACCACACCTGCTGTTACCACACTTGCTGTTACCACACCTGCTGTTACCACCTGCAGTCACCACACCTGCTGTCACCACACCTGCTGTCACCACACCTGCTATCACCACACCTGCTGTCACCACACCTGCTGTTACCACACCTGCTGTTACCACTTGCAGTCACCACACCTGCTGTCACCACACCTGCTGTCACCACACCTACTGTCACCACACATGTTGTCACCACACCTGCTGTCACTCATGCCATGGTGAGGGGATCGCATATTAGCCCGTTGATGCAGTACGAGTGTGCACTGCACTGCCATATTCTTCTAAACCCATCTGAACCAATATGAGTTCAACGCCCTCCCAACACCCCCCATCACAGGCAGTCACCGACAGTCACCATGCAAGCCCTACCAGCAGAGCGGCACACGGTGATCACTTCATTCGCTGGAGTGAGAGTCGACGCCGCCGCCGGCTTGGCTCTTCCTGGCCCCCTCGGTCCCCCTGCGCCCCCCGTTTCCCCCGCGCCTCCCGCGCCCTCCGCGCTGCCCGCCGTCCCCTCCAGCGGCGCCCACACGGTGCTGGCACGCGCCTTGTTTCGCGCCACGTCAAGCAGATCGCGCCGCGTCGCCGTCTCAGGCGGCGACGACGCACTCGACTCGTCCCCACCGCCGCCGCCGCCGTTGTCTGCAGGAGTTTCGTGCGCGAAGTGCAGCGAGAGGTGGTTGAAGCAGGCGGGGTCGAGGAGGGCGGGCGGGAGGAGCTGCGGAAGCAGCGACTGCAGCGCGCACGAGTCCAGCTCCACCTCACGTGGAGGCGGCGGCGCTGGCGGCGGCTGCGGAGGGGGAGAAGAGTCGTCGAGGGGAGCACTCTTCGCGACGCCTGTGGCAGCGATGCTGGGTTGCTGCTGTGCGAAGAGCAGGCGATGCGGGGAGCGCGTCGCGTGCAACTGTTCTGGGTGCGACGAATCGCCCGAGTCGCCGCTGAGATCGTCCAAGTTGTCAATCTCGAGAAATGGGTGTAGCAGCGTCGAGGCGCTACTAAGGAAGATGGACGAGCCGTGGGACGATGACGACAATGCGGGGGTGGAGAGGCGGGCGGACGGTAAGGACGACGCGGGGGTGGCGGCGGTGGGGGCGGCGGAGGCGGCGGCATCCCAAAGTTGCATTCGAGGGGGTTGGTGTACCCAACCACGCAGTAGGGAATTTGTACCCCCGTCCAAAGTGTATGTACGGTCCCTACGATGAACCTACATGCTATTCGGGGTACCTGGAAGTCACCATGCTTGCCGAACCTACCAGATGCAAACTCGGTAGAATGTATTGCTTTGCTACTGGCTACTGTGTCTGGGCTCTGCTTTCGGAGCAAATCCGGGATGTTCTAGCCTACATTGTAGGCTGGGTTTCAAACCTACAATGGGTCTACCAGGCCTGTACTTCGTTGGGACTGGTGTCGAAATATTAAGTATAATGACCACACAATACGAATGTTTTGCGTTAGAAGCCCGTTTTTAATGCTCCCAATATAACACAAAGCGTAACAAATAGATCCGTGTAAGGAAAATTCATTTTCCTTACTTCGCATCCCTCTTAGCGCGTACACCACTGTTCCCGCCAACAGCACCCCACAGTATCCCGTTACCACTCGCGACATTCGCCTCGACCCCATTCCCGCCACTGTTCACGATGCGACCCAACCTCACGGTTCGGTTGGTAACCTGCGCTCCGGACCTCCGCCTCGACAGTCCCCCAACCTCGGCACCAGGCCCGTTGCGCACTCCATTTCCCACACGTTACCGTTACCACTGTAGCTTCGCTATATATTCTTCGCTCAATCCTTCGCTCATTGGATTCTTGTCTCGATAGTGCAATCCTCGCTCGCTCACTCAATTGCACTCGTAACACTTGGTTACCGGTATCAGAGCCGACGATCTTCGCTCGGACCGCACCCACACCTTCGCTTCCCCACTATCAATTTTTTTGGGGGGGGTATACGTCTCTCAGCGATCAAGCACCGCCGCTCGTAGTGCTCTCTTGTAAGCACGCACGGCCACGAAAGAGGCTCTCGCTGAGCTTGCCCTACACCCCCGCCATGGCAGAACTCAATGTCGCAACACTGGCACAGGAGCAACTAGATCGGCTCATGCGCCAACTCGAAGAATCGGCGCTTGAAATCGCCACACTCACGGCGGAACGCGACTCCGCTCGCCAACAATCGACAGTGAACGCACCAGCACCAACAGACGCACCTGCACATTCGGAGGAACCGATTGTCATCTCCTCCGGCACACCGACACAGAATGACAGCGTGGGACAGCGCTCAGGCGCAGCCAGTGAGGGCGCCGCTCACTCGATGCTTGGCATGGAGAGAAACAGGACCGCACCAAGCCCACGGGAGCCCCGCGAGTCCCGTCGGCACGTGGAATTTGCAGCGACAAGTAGCGAGTATGCCGTCACGGCACCAATGCCACTCAAGCCATAGCATCCGCCCTGTTTCGACCCGAGCCAGCGTGGGGGTCCGACGGTTCAGTCATGGGTCTTCACGATGGACGTGTTTTTCGACGCCAATTACGTCGAGTCGGACGCAGCAAAGATTCGCTACGCTGTTTCGCTGCTGAGGGGCCCTGCCATGGACTGGTGGCGAGTCATTGTGACGTCGCCACGCGCCTACGTGCCACCGTCGCAAGAAGACGGGCCCACGGGCCCAGCCGTCACCTGGAGTTCATTCTGCAAGACGGCCCAGTACAGCACGTGGGATGCGTGGTGCGCAGGGCTTCGGGCGTGTTTCGAGCCGATCGCGGCTTCGATTTCGGCGCGTCAGAAGCTGCGCACTTGGCGGCAGCTCGGGACGGTTCAAGATTACACTAGCGGCTTTCTCGCACTATCCGAACAAGTTGGCTATATGCACGAAGCGGAGCGGGTGGACCGTTACGTCGGAGGGCTAAAGCCGGACATCTCGCACGAAATTATGCTACGCGGGCTCTCGAATTTCAACGAGATCCTCGCGCTCACCGAGAAAATCAACATCCTACGACGACCGAGACCGGGGTCCTACTACGGACAACGTCCTCGGGGACCGATCGAGCACGCCACCGTACGCGCTGTTGCGACGAATGTAGCTGCCGCACCGTTTAAAGGGCGCTGCTTTGCTTGCAATAGGCCGGGCCATCGCAAGAGTGAATTCCCAGAGGAGCTGAGGCGCCGCGGAACAGAGCAGGGGCGAGAGTCTCAGAGGCCGAGAAGCGCCAGCAGTCAGTAAAATTTGAGCCAACTACTGACGAGACTGCCTGCTCGCCCAACTTTGTCAAACTTATATATGCTAGAGTCTGTTTAGGCTGTAGTGGGGTAGTTCCTAGAGGGTACAACACTTTTGTGTTCTCTATTTGTGCCCACCTCATTTCTAGTTCAATCATTCATTCCTCAATTCTCTCACATGGTATAGAGCTAGTTCAATTTTTCCTAAGGGCCCACCACTGAATTTTTTTTTTCCTTACCTGCCCGACGCGCGCGTCGCGCCTGCCCTTCGAGGCCCCTTCGCGGCCCGTAGCGGCCCCTTCACGGCCCGTAGAGGCCCCCTTGTGGCCCGTAGCGGCCCCTTCACGGCCCGTAGCGGCCCCCTTACGGCCCGTAGCGCCCCCCCCCCCCCCTTTGCGGCCCGTAGCGGCCCCCTTCGCGGCCCGTTAGGCCCCCCTTCACGGCCCGTCGCGGCCCCTTCGCGGCCAGTAGCGGCCCCCTTTGCGGCCTGTAGCGGCCCCTTCACGGCCCGTAGAGGCCCCCTTGCGGCCCGTAGCGGCCCCTTCACGGCCCGTAGCGGCCCCCCTTGCGGCCCGTAGCGGCCCCCCCTTTGCGGCCCGTAGCGGCCCCCTTCGCGGCCCGTTAGGCCCCCCTTCACGGCCCGTCGCGGCCCCTTCGCGGCCCGTAGCGGCCCCCCTTTGCGGCCTGTAGCGGCCCCTTCGCGGCCCGTTAGGCCCCTTCACGGCCCGTCGCGGCCCCTTCGCGGCCCATAGTGGCCCCCCTTTCCGGCCCGTAACGCCCCCTCCCCCCCCGTCGCTTGTCGCGGCCCGGCCCCGGCCCTTCCCCGGCTCCGTCCCGGCCCTGCCCCAGCTCTGCCCCGGCCCCGTCGCGGCCCGGCCCCGACCCTTCCCCGGCCCCGTAGCGGCCCCGTCCCGGACCTGCCCCGACCCCGGCCCTGCCCCGACCCTGTCGCGGCTCCGTCCCGGACCTGCCCCGACCCCGGCCCTGCCCTGACCCTGTCTCGGCCCCGTCCTGGACCTCCCACGACCCCGGCCCTGCCCCGGCCCCGTCGTGGCCCCGTCCCGGACCTACCCCGACCCTGTCGCGGCTTTGTCCCGGACCTGTCGCGGCCTCGCCCCGGCTCAGCCTCGGCTCTGCCCCGGCCCTGCCCCGGCTCTGCCCCTGCCCTGCTCCTGCACTGTCGCGGCCCTGCCTTGGCCTGGCCCCGGATCTTTTGCGGCCCGGCCCTACCCCGGACCTGTCGCAGTCCTGCCCCGACCCTCCCCCGGCCCTGCCCCGGCCTCGCCCCTGGTAAGCGCACCGTCGAGCTGAGCCGCACTGCCCTACCTAGCCTGCTTAGCTGAGTTGCGCTGCTGCTGCTAGCTTGCTGCTGCTCCTGTCATGACTAGTCTCAGTGTTCTTACTTTTGATGCTGAGGGTCGAGCAGTTGACTTTGAGGTCTGGCTAGATGATCTGCAGCTTTTCCTACAGTGCGATAGCAAGGATGGTCTCTCACTGTTCGATCTCACGTCTGGCGCCTCTACTGCCCCTGCTGCAGATGCTGACAGTACTGTTCGCTCGCAGTGGACCACGCGCGATGCTGCTGCCCGCCTTGCTGTGCGTAGTCACCTACCGTCTACTGAGCGCGCGCACTTTAGTCAGTACAAGAGTGCTAAGACTCTGTACGACGCAGTAGTTGCACGCTACTCCTCCCCTGCCACTGCTGCCCTCAGCCGCCTCATGCTGCCGTACCTTTTTCCTGACCTTGCCGCCTTTGCCACAGTTGCTGACCTGGTTGCTCACCTTCGCACCAGTGACGTCCGCTACCGCGCTGCCCTTCCCACTGCGTTCCATCCCACGAACTCCCCCCCAATGTACATCACCCTTTACTACCTAGTCACCCGCCTCCCTGACTCTCTCTCTTCAGTCAGGGACCACTTTCTCTCCCTTTGCCCCACCGAGCTGACTGTCGACTTGCTAGAGGAGCGCCTTGCTGCAGCTGATAAGAGTATCTTAGCAGTCGGTGCTTCTCGCGGCGACCGTCGCACCCCTTTCTTTGAGGGGTGTTCCCCTGTCCCCCTTCTCCCCTCTGTTGCCTCTGCTGCTGCTGTCGACCTCGTTGGCACTGAGGAGGTCGGCGCTGCGTCTGCCTCTAGTGGGCGACGCCGCACCGGCAAGGGCAAGGGAAGCAGGGGTGGTGGAGGGGGCGGTGGGGGAAGCGGTGGAGGCGGTGGAGGAGGTGGCAGTGGTGGTGGGGGTGGTACCGGGAGTGGGGGCGTCGGTGGCGGCAGTGGAGGCCGTGGCGGCGGTGGCGGGAGGTGGAGGCGGCGGCAGCGGTGGTGGAGGTAGCGGAGGAGGTGGTGCTGGTCGCGGTGCAGCCACGTAGCGTGGAGGCCTTGGTGGCAGCCAGCGCCAGCAGCAGCTGCGCACCCGTGAGACCCCGTCGGTTCAGCAGCTTCGTGAGTGGTACGCTGGGCGTGGGAGGTCTGGGGGTGCGGGTCCCTGCTCTTACGTTCTTCGCACCGGCACTCGGAGTGGGGAGGTGTGTGGTCTCCCACACACCACGCAGCGCTGCTTCGGCCGCTTGACTGACGCTTGGCGTGCCCAGTTTCCTGACGCCGTTGAGCTTCCTCGTTGGCATGATCTGCTTATGCAGAATGTGCCTATCTTTGATCTAGACTTTGATGCTATCCTTGCTGCCATGTATGCTCTTGCTGATATTACTGAGGGTGACTGTTACCTGCGTGTCCCGCCTGACCCGGGCCCTGTGGCTGCTGCTCTAGGTGCTAGTGCGGCTGCTGCTCTAGGTGCTAGTGCGTCTGCTGCTCCAGGTACTGGTACGTCTCCTCTCTCTGGTACTGCACCTACTGAGTCCTTTCACACTTTCACACTTGACTCTGGTGCTTCGCGCTCTTTCTTTAGAGACAGCACCACG